GCACTCACATACATACAGGCAATACACTCATACACATAAAATAAAAATAATAAATAAAATATTAAAAAAAAAAGAACAAAAAAATTCCTAATGCCATGGGGTTGGAGAGATGGCTCAGCAGTTAAGAGCACTGGATGCTCTTCCAGAGGATGGGATTTGATTCCTAGCATCCACAAAGCAGCTAACAACTGTCTGTAACTCCAGTTCCAGGGGATCCAATGATTCTGACCTCTGTAGGCAATGCACAGCACAGTTCACTTACACATATGCAGGCAATTCACTCATACACACAAAAATCTAAAAGGAACAGCCGGGTGTGGTAGCATACCCTTTTAATCCCAGCACTCAGGAGGCAGCGGCAGGCGGATCTCTGAGTTCCAGGCCATCCTGGTCTACAAAAGAAAAAAGAAAAAGAAAAATCCTAATGCGTAACCACAGTACAATGTATAACTCAAACACATTTGTAGTGATACTGGCTATATAATACCTACTGGGCTGCTCCTCATGGAACTGTAGGGCACATGCAATTATGTACAGCACAGAACACTGGATAGTGATACAGACTGTTACTGGTTTATATATTTTATTCATATATATATATATAGTTTTTTTTGTTTTTTTGTCTTTTTGAAACAGGGTCTCCTTGTAGCCCCAGCTGGCCTAGAACCCACTATGTAGACCAGGCTGGCCTTGAACTCACAGCGATCCACCTGTCTCTGCCTCCCAAGTGCTGGTACTACAGGCCTGCACCACCACTCCCAGCTTTATTTATTATACTTTTTAGCATTACTTCAGAATTTACTCCTACTTATGAATAAGTAAAATTGCATTGAGCTAGAGCATTTGGCTTAGCATGCACAGGCCAAAGGCTCAATCCTTTAATCTACAGCTGGGGGAGGGGGGGTATTAACTGTAAAATCAAACAGCCCCTGGCAGGCCCATCAAGCAGTTTTCCACAAGAAGACATTGTTAGAATTGGAGATGACAGCTACATGAGTGTTACTGCCTCTGAAGACTTCTCAGTGGAACAAGATGTGGTGGCCAAACAGTGAAACGGACCTGTGTGGGCCTAGGTTAAAGTATATGCTCCTGTCTTCGCTGTTGGTTTGCTTAGAAGTAGGTGGGGGTTAGGATGTCTTTTTTGTGACAGCATCTCAAGTAGCCCATGTTGGCCTCAAACTTGTTATGAAGCAAAGTATGACCTTGAACAACTAATCTTCCTGTCTCCACCTCCCAAATGCTATGATTAAAGGCATAAACCACCACTCCGGGCTATGTCTGTTTTTAAACCTCCCCCCAGAAAAGTTTTAAAAGCCACAAACATTTTTATTTTTTTGGACTTTTTGAGAGAGGGTCTCCCTGTATCCCCAGCTGACCTGGAACTCACTATGTAGAGCAGGCTGGTCTCAAACTCACAGTGATTCGCCTGCCTCTGCCTCCCAAGTGCTAGGATTAAAGGCATGCATCACCACAGCTGGCTTTTTAAAAATATTTTATTATTTTTATTTTATGTGTATGAGTGTATTGCTACATCTGTATAAGTGTACCCTTGTCACGCAATGTCCACGGAGGTCAAAAGAGAGCACTGAATCCCCTGGAACTGGAGTTACTGGGTGTTGGGAATTGAACCTGAGTCCTCTACAAGAGCAGCCAGTACTCCTAACAGCTGAGCCATCTCTCCAGCCCCCAGAAAATTATCTTTAAAAGGACATATTGGTAGCCGGGCATGGTGGCACACGCCTTTAATCCCAGCAGGCAGATCTCTGTGAGTTCAAGGCCTGCCTGGTCTCCATTAGCAAATCCAGGCCTTTGATGACTGGGGGTTCATGTACACCTCCTATAAGATGCCACTGTACAAAATAGTTAAACAAATAGTTCAATTTTCAGTGCTTAAAGTTGTGACAACCTGCTTTAGCTACATTCTTTTTTGAACACAATCTTAAAGGTTAACCATCAAGAACATTTTTTTCATGCCATAAATAGCCAGCTCAACATATCTTATTTATACACACCTTGTTTCTACACAAGACAAAACTAGCACCTACTACCTTTGCCCAGGATTTCCTGCTAGAATAATTCCTTCCCACTCATAGATGGCTTTGTCTAACTGGCCCTTTTACTTGCTTTGGTCTTGTCACTCACGTAATTTCTGAATAATCACAAACTTTTCTAGGGATATTCGGTTCATAGTTCCAAGTCAGAAGAAAATGGCCAAAAGATAAGCTTGCAGGCTCTGGAAACCCTCTTTTGCAAAACTGTATCACTCTGACCAGGTACTGAAGTAGTTTTGGACCAAGCCAGTACCAAGCAGGACAGCAACACTTGCTATATCTGGCCTCCGAAATATGCTAGCTAGAGGGTACCCAAATGCACAGCTCCCAGTGAACTGGGAAAGGTCAAGGTTCCCAAGCCACATCCTGCCAGCTCTCATACTGCTAGCTTTCCCCAGCAGAAGATGCCAAGTTGCTTGTTAAGAGCATACAGACATATAGAACTGTGCTGTATAGGCACCTCTATACCAAGCAAGACTCAGAACACTTATGGTTCGAATATGAAACATACCCCAAAGGATCACGTGTCAAAGGCCTACTTACCAACTGAAGGGTTTGGGGAGATGGCTGAATCATGATGACTCAGACATGATTAATAATTAACCCACTGATAAATTCATAATTTGATCGTATTATTGGAAGTAGTAAAAACCACGAGGTGGGACCTGTTTAGAGGAACTGGGTCATAATGAATGTGTTCTGGAAGGATGTATATTGTCTCTGGTATCCTTGCTCTCTTCCCCACCTATTTCTCAATTACCATGAAGTGATCAGCTTTGTTCTCACCTTCTTTTCCTGCCATGACTTCCCAATTTCATAGCAGGCCCAAAAAACAATACCAAGGGAATATGGACTGAAACGGAGATATAAGTTTTTTCAGTGTAAGTGGTTTTCTCAGGTATTTGTCACAGCAACAAAAAAAGTCTGACTAACACAAACACCCAGTGCTTTTCTCCTTAAAGCTCTAAAAAACTAGCTGCTCTCTGCCATACCAAATTTATACACAAGTTAACATTAAGAAAAAAAAAATCCTTGAAGGCAGCTTTAGTATAAAGGAAAAGGCTTACACTTTAATAATTAGAAATTAATTCCTGCATTTCTGAACCCAAGACTAAAAACTCAAGGCAAAAGGAATAAAGGAATGGTGAATACAAGAGATTAGTCTTATCAAAAGGATACAGCTATAATTTACATACCCCAAGTAGTTTGTAGTAGCAACTACAAAGCAGTTTTCAGTAGTGTCCCTAATCTGCTAAAGCACAAATGTGTGTGTTTCCTTCTATTTTTCTTTTCTTTTCTTTTTTGGTCTTTTTGAGATAGGGTCTCCCTGTAGCCCCAGCTGGCCTGGCACTCACTATGTAGACCAGGCTGGCCTCTATCTCACACAGATCTGCCTGCCTCTGTCTCTGCTGGTATTAAAAGCATGCACCACCATGCCTGACTGTGTTTCCTTCTAAACAGTCCTGGATTCTCTTGATTTCTAGTTTGTGTCACTACTGGACATGAATAACTACCCACAACCCAAACAGACAGAGATCTTACCAGCTCCTGGCTTAATTCTTCAGGTGCTTTATCTGTATTTCTTCCCCAAATCTATAACTGGCTTTGGGATGCAGTACCAGGGATCAAATCCAAGGTCTTATATATATGTATATATATGTATTAGTAAGCATTATGCCCCTGCGTTATATCCTTAGCCCCATTTTATTTTGAAACAAGGTCTTGCTAAACTACCCAGGTTGGCCTTGAATTTGTGATCCTCCTGTTTTAGCCTTCTAAGTAGCTAAGATTACAGTGTGTATCACCAATGGTTTATAGAGCTAACACAGAAGTGTCCCCCAGAATTCTTCTCTAATCTTTTAGGTAAATCATCATCTATGTAAAACATCTGTTTTAACGTCTTTTTGCTGTATACTTGGCCAGTGAACTTCTTTCTTGTCCCTGTATGTGTATACATGTTGATACATACATTTAGGTGTATATGTGTTTGTGTGCACATGTATACAAACGTGTGTGGAAGTCAGAGGACAACTTCAAATGTTGTCATTCAGATGCATCCATCTTACTTTGAGACAAGGTCTCTCACTGGTCTGGACTCATGGATTAGTCCAGTCTAGGAATTACAAATGCATACTACCATACCATATATTGTACGTGGGTTCTGAGATCTAAAACGCAGGTCCAGAAGCACTTTACTGACTGAGCCATTATCCCAGCCTTTCTAGTGAACTTTTAAATCACAAGTTCTATGGTTTTGAGAAGAAATACAACCAGACCTGGTGGTACAGACCTGTAATCTCAGTTACTTGAGAGGCTGAGGCAGACGATCAGAAGTTCAAGGACTGCCTGGGTTTCAAAGTGAATTCAAGGTGAACCTAAGCAATTTAGTAAAACCCTGTCTCAAAAAAAAGTGAAAAGATGGTTGGCGATACAGCTTAGTGCTGCATGTGCAAGGCCCTAGGTTTAATCCCTACCACTGACACCCCCAAAATAGCCTTAACCAGAAGTCAGGTATTTAAACTTTGCATGTATCTTATGCAAGGATAAAGATTACTGTGAGGGATTTCATGACAACAGTCCTCCTAACGGGCTAGTTAGCCCTCAACAGAGTCATGGGGACAGTTATTGCCTACCTACTCATAACTTCTTTGGTCAATAAGAAAAGAACAGGGAGGTCGGAAGGCAATGAGAGAGGATGAGTATATAAAACAGAACCATTTCTTCTCATACTAAGCTGACTTATTGAACTCGACAGAACAGACTTTGGCCTCTGTTCTTCTACCTGACCTGCCTCTTATCACTTGATAGCATTTATGTATGGAAGAGTGGAAGATACAGGTAAGACCATCAGAGCGGTAGCCACCAGAGATTGTAGAGATGCCTTTCCTACTCCTACCAACTTTTTCATCTGAAGGCAGGAAGACATACCTGGCTTGAAACATTTCTTACCTCTCTGGGAAAAAGTCACCACAAAACCAGCAGTCTTCACTTGTAATCTCTGCAGGATCCGTTTCAGATCTCAGTCACTACTCACCCACCCACCTGTCTCAGAACTGGATGTGGGAGCTGGGCTTAGAGATGCATGACTGTAATTCCAGCACCTGGGAGGTAGATACAGAAGATCAGAGTTCAGGGTCATCCTCTGCTCCATATCAAGTACTGAAGTCAACCTGGACTACATGAGTCCTGTTCTCAAAAAACAAAACAACCAAAAATAAAACAAAAAATAACCTGAAGGTAAAACAAACATGCTTCTCAGAGCTGATTCTCTTTCCAAGGGAGGGAGAACACCCCAGTCTTCTGCAAGCTTTATACCCTTATTTGCTACATTCAGCAAATAGGGAGATGCTGGGTGTGGTGGCACAAACCTTTAGTCCCAGCACTCAGGAGGCAGAGGCAGGCGGATCTGAGTTCAAGTACAAGTATGTGAGTATACCTGTGTCATGCAATGCCCATGGAAGTCAGAAGAGGGCGTCAGATTCCCTTGAACTGGAGTTATGGACAGTTGTTTGCCTCCATGTGGGCGCTGGGAACTGAACCTGGGTCCTCTGCAAGAGCACTCAGGGCTCTTAACCACTGAGCCATCTCTCCAGCCCCTTGATTTGATTTTTTTGTTTCTTTTTGTTTTTTGTTCTTTTTGAGACAGGGTCTCCCTGTAGCCCCAGCTAACCTGGAGCTTGCTATGTACACAAGGCTGGCCTTAAAGGTATTCACCAACATGCCTGGCACTTGATTTTTTGAGAAAGGATCTTCCTGTAGCCCCAGCTAGCCTGAACTTCCTACACAGACCAGGCTGGTTTCCATCTTACAAAGTTTCGACTCCCTTTGCCTCCCAAGTACTGAGCCAAGATGTGTTTTTACATATCTTAGTTTGTTCTCAAATATTTGTTTTCTAAGCAAATACAGATGGAATAACAGCACTTACAATAATCAACAGAAATGAATAGGGATAACGTGGGCAAATGACAAATTAAATGATACTTCATGCTTGTTTCACTTTTTGGATAAAATAAGCATCATAGAGCACCTACTGCTTATTTCTACAATAGTTTTTTGGGAGGTTTTTTGGTCTTTTTGAGACAGGGTCCCCCTGTAGCCCCAGCTGTCCTGGAACTGACTATGTAGACGAGGCTGGCCTTGAACTCACAGAGATCCACCTGCCTCTGCCTCCCGAGTGCTGGGATTAAAGGTGTGTGCTATCACGCCTGGGCTACAGTAGTTTTTTTTTTTTTTTTTTCATTTTATGTGTATGAGTGTATTGCCTGCATGTATATGAGTGCATGCGTGTCGTGCAATGCCACGAAGGTCAGAAGAGGGCTTCAGATTTCCCTGAAACTGGAGTCAAGGACAGTTTGTACCTGCCATGTGAGTGCTGGGAATCGAACCTGGGTCCTCTCCAAGAGCAGTCACTGGTCTTAACCATCTCTCCAGCCCATTAATAGTTATTTTTCCACTGTGCTTTGCTCTAAAAAAGAAACACATAATAAGAATTGTATCGGGGGCTGGAGAGATGACTCAGCCATTAAGAACACTGGCTGTTCTTGCAGAAGACCCAGGTTCAAATCCCAGCACCCACATGGTAGCTAACAACTGTCTATAACTTCAGTTCCAGGGGATCCAACAGCCTCTTCTGTCCTCTGTGGGCACTGCACGACACAGGTGCACTTATCTACATGCAGGCTATACACACATACACAAAAAAGTAATAAAATAAAATTAAAATTAAAAAAAAAAAAAAAGATTTGTATCACACCAGCTTGGGAAATGAAGCAAAAAGATTAAGAGTTCAGGGATAGACAACAAGTTCAAAACCAGCCTACAATATTTAAGACTCTATCTCAAAAGTTCTCTTTTGGCCTTCTTAGGCACTCACATGCGCATGCATAAACAAACACAAACACATAAACACATGCGTGAATTGCCTGCATGTATGTAAGTGGACCATGTCATGAAATTCCCTTGAGGACAGAAGAAGGTGTCAGAGCAATGGACAGCTGTTAGCAGCCATGTGGGTGCTGGGATTCAAACCCAAGCAAGAAAAGCTCTTAACCACTAAGCCATCTCTCTAGTCCCACTTAATTAACTTTTTAGGTTAGCAGATACAAAGTAACAGGAAGCTTCATCATGGCATTCTAATACATATAGGTCATTATGCTATTATACTTTGTTTTCACTTGTCTTCCTTACCCTCTCCAATCTTTGTTGTTGTTGTTGTTGTTGTTCTTTTTTTCAAACAGAGTCTCCCTGAAGCCCCAGTTGGCCTGGAACTCACTATGTAGACCAGGCTGGCCTTGAACTCAGAGATCTGCCTGCCTCTACCTCTGCCTCTCAAAGACTGGAATTAAAGGCATGTGCTACCACACCCCGCTCACCGATCATTTTTTACATTTACTACAACTTGAAGTCCTCAGCCCCAGTAGGGAGTTCCACTTCCTCACTTGTTTCAGTATCCTGCACATTGTGTTTTCAAGGGTGACCTCTCATACCCAGTCTTGCATTCTTCTATCAACAAATCTGAGGATAAAATCCTAGACATATGACTCACAGATTTGACAACATGTCTTTTAATTCATACTCCTGCCTAAAGATGTGACTTTTCCCTTACTTTCACTAGTATTGAGTTATTGTCAAACACTTCATCAATAATTTGAGAAGGAAAGTGGAGAGAGTTGGACATCATGAGACAGAACTTTGCCTTCTCATCCTGCTTGATTAAAGAGCGTGTTGGGCATCAAGTACTATAAATTCTGGCTAGGAGGGTAAGTTTCCAGACAACTAATGAATCAAAACATGACACTGTTTGTTTAGCTAAACTTGACTACCTCAGAGGAAAATTACTATGGAGAATTTATGACCTAATTAATTACTGCAAATAAAGTTTCTGTCAGTCCTATGAACCAAGGCACCTCATAGGCCAACCCCATGAACAACTCCAAGCTCAGGGCAGCAGGAATATAGGTAGAGGTGCTGAACACAAAGGCAAGAGACACTATGGAGCTTATTTTTGAGGTCTCATATCTACATACTGTAGGCTCTCTGTTCTGAAAAACATTAACTTACTAAATACTATTTCTAAATCTAAGCTTGTGATGCACTGTCCTCCAACTGATGAACAAAGGGTAGAAGGAATGCTGGAAGTCAGCTTTCCAGGGGAACTGCACCCTCCAGGACCTTGAGGCATTGGGGAAAGAACCTTCTTTCTCAGGCCACTGAGGCTACCTGACACTGATAAATAACTGTGTGCCTAAGCACAAAGAAAGACCCACTAGTCGTCTTCTACTTCTGAGTCTCATCAGCCTTGACAAAGAAATATTAGTTCTGACCCTCCTCATAATAGGAAAACCCACCCTGCACCTGCTCAAGATGACACAACCTCAGCCCCAAACCCCCTCCTCCTCCCCAAGAGAAAAAAATATATTGAGTCTGTAAAGGAGGGTATGCCCAGATCCTGGACTGCAAGGAGGTGTCAACTTCCTCTGGCCCCTCTTTCTGCTTTCTAATTCCTTACAAGCCTAACTTGTGTACATGAACAATTAACCCAAGAAAATGGTGCCCACAAAAGTTTCTGACATTCCCACCATCAAAGTTTAAAAATGTCAAGGTGCACATTTATGGTTTATGCATTTTACCTGTAAATTATGCTTCACATTAAAAAAAAAAGTAGTTTCAATAAAATCAACTACTACTAGGTTAAAGAGAGTCAGTGGGGGGGCTGGAGAGATGGCTCAGCAGTTAAGACCACTGGCTGATCTTGCAGAGGACCCAGGTTAAATTCTTAGCACCCACGTGATGGCTAAGAACCATCCATCCTCAACTCCAGTTCCAGGGGATCTAATGCCCTCTTCTGACCTCCGAGGGCACTGTACAACAGGGGTGCACCTATATACATGTAGGCAGTATACTCACACATACATAAAATTAAAAAAATAAAATATTTTTTAAAAAGTCAGTGAAACTGCATTTATGAATAGATTTTGAAAGCCTGAAGAATGAAAATCAGCCTCTGGGCTAGAATAATTGGGGAGGGGCGCTACCTGTACCAATCCACTGATACTAGAGATAAAGGTAGGGACGACTCCTATTTGCTGCTAAGCAATCAACCAGAGAACAACATCACTTAACTCCTGCCTTGCCATGTCTTATCAATTAATATGATGTGGTCTTGACCTCACCAAACTATGGCAATTCAGTTTTCAATACAGAAGATTCATCACTCACCTCACTACCCAGCCTGCTGGTAGCCTGACACTCACTTCTACAGATGACTAGTTCATCAGCAATGCCCAGCAGCCTCTCCAGCTCTCCTTCCAGCACAGCCTACAACTCCCTGACTGAAATTCCTTACATTCTCCTTCCTCAAGAACAACCCTCAGAACATCTGAATTGAAAACAACAGAATAAAACCTAAGTGCTGGGGATTTAGGCCAGCAGTAAAAGGCTCCAGCAAAGCCTAGGGCCTAGTTCCACCAAAGTAGGAACAACCCAGTCTAAGGCCTAGAGGTGGAGCTCAGAGGTAAAACATGTGCTTAGCACACACATAAATCTTTGGATCAATCGAAAAAAGGAGGAAGGGAGGAGCAAGCATGATGACTGCCCTATGTAGTGCGTTCCAGGCTAGCCAATGCTACATAGTGTGTCAAAAAACTAAAAAAAAAAAATTTTTAAAGGCAGATGTGGCAGTACATGCCTTTTATCTCCCATGCTTTCAACCTCTCTAAGAAAAAGGGAGGAATATATAGGAAGGAGACAGTGCTAGGACCCCAACCCTGTGAATCAACTGTAAAAGATTTCCAGAATTTTTAACATCCATGCTAGATAGATTGGTTTGACAAGGACTACTGGGCCAGTCTCTGCTCAGGGCCCATATCCTTCCACAGAAGTAGTGTGCCGAGTACCTACCTGTCAAGCAGCAAAGTATATAGGACAGCAAGAAAGCCTGTCCACAAGAGATAACTACCCACAGCCTTGCCAAAGATATCAAACCCCAAACTGGTCAAAGCTTTGGATCCATCTGTCAATTCACTGAAGTAATAAAGAGGAATTCTGAGGTGCAATCTGTTAACAGTGGGTTGTAACCCTTTAGACTCAGATTCTTTAGCAGATTAAAGAACAGAGGGAAGGGGCTGGAGAGATGGCTCGGTGGTTAAGAGCACTCGCTGCTCTTGCAGAGGACCCAGGTTTGGTTCCCAGCACCCACATGGCAGCTAACAACCATTTATAACTCCAGTTCCAGGGGAATCCAACACCTTCTTCTGACCTCCACTGGCATTCCATGACATGAGTTTACTTATACATATGCAGGCAAATTCACTCACACACATAAAAATAAAAATAACTGTGGGCGTGGTGGCGCACCCCTTTAATCCCAGCACTCGGGAGTCAGAGGCAGGCAGATCTCTGTGAGTTCAAGGCCAGCCTGGTCTACATAGTGAGTTCCAGGATAGCTGGGGCTACAGGGAGATCCTGTCTCAAAAAGACGAAAAAAATAAATAAATAAATATTTTTCTAATATTTTATTTACTATATTTTATGTGAATGAGTGTATTGTCTGCATGTAATATAGGTAAGTGCACCCGTGTTGTGCAATGACTGTGGAGGACAGAAGAGGCTGTTGGATCCCCTGGAACTGGAGTTACAGACAGTTGTTAGCTGCCATGTGGGGGCTGGGATTCAAACCCGGGTCTTCTTCAAGAACAACCAGTGTTCTTAACCGCTGAGGCATCTCTCCAGCCCCAATAAATATTTTTTAAGAGTACAAAGGGGCTAGAGAGATGTCTCCGTGGTTAAAAAGCAGTGGCTGCTCTTGCAGAGGACCAGGGTTCAAATCCCAGCACCCACATGGCAGCTAACAAATGTCCAGGGGATCCGATGCCTTCTGTTCCCTGGGGGCAGTGTATGACATGAATGCACTTACATACATGTAGGCATAACACTCATATACTGAAAATATAAATAAAAAATAAGGGCTGGAGAGAATGCTCAGCAGTTAAGAGCACTGACTGCTCTTGCAGAGGACTTGGGTTCCACTGCCGGCACCCACATGGCTGCTACTAACCGTCCCTAATTCCAGTTCCAGGGAAATCTGAAGCCCCCTTCTGATCTCTGTGACATTGCATGACACAGGTGTACTCACATACATGCAGGCAATACAATCATACACATAAAATAAAAATAATAAAAGAATAGATGAGAGAACAAGTATGGTGATGTACTTTTATTTTGGCGGGGAGGGTTGGTCTTTTTGAGACAGGGTCTCCCTGTAGCCCCAGCTGTCCTGGAACACACTATTTAGACCAGACTAGCCTTGAACTCACAGAGAGCCACCTCCCTCTGCCTCCCGAGTGCTGGGATTAAAAGTGTGTGCCACCATGCCCGGCCTAGTGACATACACTTTTAATCTCAGCACTTGGGAGGCAAAGGCAAGCAGAGCTCTGTGCATTCCAGGCCAGTATGGTCTACATAGTG